GGGCTATTTGAGACTAATTTTATGAAAAGATCCTTTCCATACCGAGGAGCTTGTGCCTGGAACAACTTACCCATTGACATCGTCAACGGGTATTCAGCAACTATCAACAATTCATGTAATGCAATAAATTGTTCTGAAATTTTGTATTTTAAAAATATTAGTCTTTTAGTACAATATACTCAATTTTTTGAAAAATTCTATAAAACAGTTTTTGTGGAACAAATTTCGCGTAATATCTCAAAACCGGAATTTATAACCTCCCCTAATTTTTAGATATCCCTTTTCTACACCTGCAACATTTCATATACTTTGACCGAAGGAAATTTTAATAAATTCATTTTACACATAATTTGCTTCTTTCGAACGATTATGCATGCTTGAAGTATAAAGATTACGCAAGCGTTTCTACTTCCAAAAAAATCCCCATTTCACATAAATAGCAAATATTTTGCATCATTATGAAGATCGTATTTTTCGCTGCTGTTTCTATACAACTGTCGGGAGCCACATTAATGGACCATTTGCATTTTTGACTAAATTTTGATCTAGACAAAAATTTCATCACAGCTTAAAAGAGCATCACAAAATTAGTAATATTCCAAAGTTTCGTTGCGAAATGTTGTAAAATGCGGATAATATAGCCTTGCGAAATTTGCAATTTTCAGTCATTTTGTATTACCAACGGGAAATTGATGCCCCAACACCCGATTGGGCTGTCAATTTCCCGTGCGTAATACAAAATGACTGAAAAACGGCAAACTACGCATGGCTATATTATCCGCATTTTACAACATTTCGCAACGAAACTTTGGAATATTACTACTTTTGTGATGCTCTTTCAAGCTATGATGAAATTTTTGTCCAGATCAAATTTTAGTCTATAATGCAAATGGTCCATTAAAGACACACAACATTTAACATAGACATACCATGCACTTGGACATTATATTAGTGCGTGACTGTGCATATATCATAAAATTTAAACGGTAAATCTACTTTAGTTGATGTTTGTATTGTTTTGCATAGTTTTATAGACGGTCAGCACCTTGCATGGGAATTCGTTCCTGCTTTGTTTTGTCCGTCTGAGTCTTCCACTGTTGTATAATTGTACATTGTCTAGCTTTCACTCTTTCTTGTGCTTGTATATGTCAATGTCTAGTTATTTAATAGCACAATGTGTTAAATGTTGTTAGTGTACAGTAATTTAGTACTTCTATCTCCAAAGACAACTAGACCAAAAGGAAATAAATCAAAAGTGCTTGTACGTGACACTTGCAGTGCCAATAGACATGTACACCAGTTTTTTGAAAAATTAAAAACCGTGAATTACCTGTACCAATTATGGTGTCAACAGAAATACGAACTTTTTGACCGTACCTTGAGTGACGTCATTGACGAAATTTACCATTTAAAACAGTAAAAACCTATTCCCTAGAAAAACCTTGGATATCTGCAGAAATTAAACAAGCTATAGTTGAACGGCAGAAAGTTTGGAAGTTATTAGGACCACAATCACCGGAGTTTCGATCATTGAGAAATAAGATAAATCGATTAATGAAAAAGACAAAACAAGGTTATCTTAAAAACAAAATCAAGCAGTGCGGAAAATCGAACACTCGACAGTGGTGGAAAGAAGTGAAAAGCCTTGCTGGAATGAATAATACTAGCCAGGTGCCTAGCATTCTTTACAACGATTGTTTGCTCGAAGGTGTTGAAGTTGCCAACCATATATATAAACAATTGCTTTATTTAGGCGACTACAAACATGCGGGAGTTATCTGTACAACCTACTATCACTGAAGTACTGGATAAATACACAGTAACTGTGGATGAATTTAAGCTGGAATTATCTCGGGTCAACCCACGTAAAGCTACAGGTCCTGATAATTTTCATAATTGGATTTTTTGAAGGACTTTTCAGATATTCTAAGTCTTCCGCTCTGTTCTATTTGGGAAGAAGCCTATTTGCCATCAGTATGAAAATCTGCTGATGAAATACCCTCCCCTAAAACAACTCCAGTTAAAGGGCTGCCACTGATCTGAGACCAATTTAATCAGTTAACGCCAGCAATGAGCAAGATTGGGTAGTCGTTCATTTAGAACTTAGAAGTGCCCGTTAGATTCACTCGAAGATAGAATAAACCCAAATCAATTTGGTGTATTCAAGGAATATGGCAATAAAAATTAACTTTGTCTTATTTAAAAGAACTTTTAAAGTTATATATGAAGACCCTTTACAACTTTTTCATACCTTGCTTGGTTTTCGAAATATTTTGACCAAAAACAGTGTGCAGTCCGCCATCTTGGTATTATCATTGACCTAAATACAAAACAAGTGAAACTCCAAAGATCGATAACATTTTTATATTTATCTTGATAAATATAAAAATGTTATCGATTTATTTTGATAAATATAAAAATGCTATCGATCTTTGGAGTTTCACTTGTTTTGTATTTTGTTAAAGTGGAAGATAAAAATTTCGCTTGTTACCCTATTAGTGACGTATGCATATCGAATGCATATCCAAGATGGCGGAATGCAGCTGCTTTTCAAAATAAGTCGATTTCAAATTTCGAAAACCAAGCAAGATACGGAATAATTGTAAAGGAAGTTTATATATCATTTTAAATGTTCTTTCAAATAAGACAAACTTAATTTATATTGCCATATGCATATCTTATGTACCACTGTATGACGTCTTAATTCTTATGATTCACAAATAGTTTCAAGCTCTTGATGGAACTTGATCATTAATCCGAGTATGCTTATTAGATTTTTCTAAAGCAATTTACAAAATTGACCCTAATGTAGTTATAAATAAGTCTAGGGATGTGAATATTCATCGTGTATTGGTCAACGTGTGAAGTTGGGAGGATGTGCATCTCGTTGGATCAAGGCGGGTGTACCCCAGGGGACTAAACTTGGACCACTACTGTTCCTGATTATGATTAATGATTTCAAACCAACCATAATGATACTATAAAATTTGTTGATGATTCTTCAATTATTGAGGTTGTTCTACAGAATACAAGATCTAAACTAGACCAAACTTTATCTAAAACACTCTAAAACCAGCGAGTGGGTTGAGCGTAACTACATGGAATTAAATAGGAAAAAAAAACAAAGGAATCAAAGATTACATTTTCAGATCACAATTTTGATCTTGGTAATCAGTTCTTGAGTAACAATGAGCCTGTTAAAGTTGTTAATTAGGCCAAACTTTCGGGTATTACCATTTCCGAATTAAAATGGAATGATCACATTCACGAAATCTGCTCTAAAGCTAGTAAACGCTTATATAAGTTACATTTTCTAAGAATCTTGCAACGAGCGGGCTTTAGTGTTGTGGACTTAGTCAGAGTTTATTGCTGCTACATTCGACCAGTCTTGGAATATGCCTGCCCCATATGGCACTCTTGTATCCAGGCCCGAACAGGGGCGTAGGAAGCATCGTGGAGTGGGGGAGGAGGCACTACATAAGAAGGGCATCTTTTTTATTAAAAAGGGCATTTCCCTATTGTTCTATTTTGAAAAATGGGCACTTTGAGCATAACTTGGGGAGCACGTACCCCCAGCGCCCCCCCGGTTCCTACGGAAGGGCTCGCCGGTAGCCGGTTTGGACTAATTCCACTAATTCTGTTCGCAAACTTCGCATAAAAAAATATTCAGACATTCGTATAATATGCAAGAATTTGTCATATTCAGAGGACATGGAGTCTACTGCGTTAATGAAACTTAAAGACTCGAAGAGAAACTCTATGTATATATAGTAAATATTGTAATCGACTATTAAACTGCCAACTAAACTAACCGTCTTTTTAATCAATTTACAATCTAGCCGGTGAACGTCAATATAACTTGCGTAATGACCGCCTTCCGTCTTTTAAGGCCAAAACCGAGCCATGATTTGTTTCAACACCTTTACAGAACGCGCTTTTCTTTTGCTAGTTCCTCTGATAATTTGAACGTCTTTAATGGTCTTGACAGATGATTCGAAAAATGGGGCCATGTAGGTACGAAAATGCTTGAGATCGAGGTATAATTCATTTTTGACGACGTCATTTAGCTGTGGATATGATTATAGCGATGGATGTTTTGTCAACACGGACGTCAGATAGGACTGGATTAAAAACTGTGTTTTTGTCAGTTTGTGATTATTGACAACACATATGACAAAACATAAGATTGATTCATAAAGTTTTTTCTTCCTTACACAAGCGCTACGATGCAAAATGCCGCCAAAATTAGTTATACCAATTCTCGGGTGACGTACTTGTTGACAAAAACGTCACTCTTGCTTAATTTTAAGCTCACTATTATAAGTATACGTGCAACGCACCTTTACTCAATAGCCACAGTTGGAAAGGAACCTTTATCAAAGGCTATATACAGTATTTAACCAGGTATATTATCAGGTAGATTTTAGTTGCTCACCCCCTCCCCACACACACACACACACACACAAATGAAGGCTGCTGGCGATACAAATTAACTATATTGATGTTTTTCAGCATTGCGAACTTAACATTAGACTGTGATCTCTAGCGCTGCAAAACCTTCTTAAACAACGTCTAAAACACTCTTCTTGGTGAGATCATTTAGAGCTAAACATACTTAATTTGCCTATCAGCATGTAAGATGCTGAAGCTGATATCGCAATACCCCCTTGAATGGCTGTTTGGTGAAAGAAGAATGTTGCCATCGCAAGTATGTGTTTTGTCTACAACTCTTCAACAATTCAGAAGCGTTTTGTCCTTTCCTGTCACTGCCAATGAATATCGGATATGCTTCGCCGCCTGTTCTTTATACAATATCGCCAATGTTTACAATTTTATTCAAATTAGGATACTCTTTGACACAATATAAGTGTCATTCAATTTTGCTAATCGGTTAGTGTATCAATAGAGAGCAATTGAGACTAGGATCAATTGTTGTAAACAGACCTGACACTGGCCAGGTTGGGAAGGTTGGGAGACAGAGAGATACATGTACAGTAACGATGGTGTTTCGTAGGATATTTCAACGACCTCATACGCGTACAATGTTGTTGTTTTCGATTGTATTAGCACTACTTTGCTTCGTAATTGTTTTATACCCTATGTCAACCTCGGTTGTACAGAGGAATTTTGAAACGCAATCAATAGCCGTCGAAAGCCGGCGAAGTGAGTACTATGTTCTGAATCGAAATTTCTTCGAGTTTCTCTCAAGGACTAGTATGGAATGTTTGATCCAAGTTGAGCCGGGCGAGAAGTGGAGCGGGAAAGCAGTTGTCGAAACGAAATTAATCGATAATGACGTCTCGCAATACGAACAATCCGCTGAGGCCGAAACAGCTAAGGCAGATTTAAGAGATGTTCCTGGGAATGCTGGTGACTTGCAAGCGAAATATATCTTGGTCTATCGTCACTTCGAACAACTAGGCAAGACAACTGAAAATTTGATACAACTAGCAGCAGTTGCCAAACGTTGGGGTAGGCTGGTTGTACAACCTGATGTTCAAAACTCAAGGTTTTCCTTAGAACCCGGATTTCGTGCTTATCCCTTGGATACCTACTTTAACGTTACTAGTGTAAACGAGCTTCTTCTAGCAAACGGTTACTCGCAACTTGTTAAGCTAACAAATTTCACTCGAGATTGCAGTTATGCAAAGTTTGGTATCAAGACAAGCATAATACATTTCCTATACAGTGATGTACACCGCGGTAACACGAAGTCATGGTTCGGTATTAATGACAAAGAATTGCGTGAAATTGTTGAGAAGAGTTTGTCTAGCGGTTGGACAGAGTGTGATTTTAAAAATAGTCACCTAAGTGTTGGGATGTCACTCGACGGGATACAAATTGGCAGGCAGGTGTGTGTAAACCCTGAAGTCATGAGAACCGAGAAAGCGTTCGAGGATAATGTTTTACGAGGAGACAAATGTGTTATATTTCTAGAATGGCGAGGTTTTGGCAAGCAAAGAGCGCACTTCAGTCCACGCTTTTGGCCTTTCTTAACTCCAGCCGAAGTAAAGCACCGCATGTCGCCTAGCAGTCTAATCGACCAAGAGGTCATCAATTTTTTACAATCTAAACTAACATCCAACTATATTTCTGTTCATTTGCGAACTGAACGTTTATTCGTTGCGAACATGCATAAAAAGCTACAGTTTTGTATAGATCATGTTGTGCAGTTAGTTAGCATTGTTCGCTCGCTACGTGGGGTCGATGCAGTGTTTCTAGCGACAGACTTAACTGACTTCGGCTCTGACCTGTTCGACCGTCGAAAGTTTTACATAACGAACGCGACTGGGGAGCATTTAATACTGCGGCAGGATATCGCAGATATTCATACGAAACTTGCGCGACGTTTGAACGCTGTAACCTACAAACCGACACGCAAACCTTTCTCTAAAGATAAAGGCATATTTTCATTGGTTGAAATGAATATATTGAAACGAGGGATAGATCTCATCACCCTGGGGAGAGGGACCTTTCATGCATGGACAGTAAGTGTGTTCAGACAACACCAGGCCGAAATTGGACGCCGGGGCTACACAATCTCTGAAGTGTGTGGCAATGTAAATCAATTGAGATAAATAGTAGAATGGACCTCTTGAGTCTAAATTTCTAGCCACATTTTTGTACAGTATAAAATATTTTTATTCAATAATATATTTATGTATAATATCTGATATTTTATTATATTCATTTTTTGAACAGCCATATTTATTTGACTCATGTATGCAACTACGTGTTAATCATGATTATAAATCTAAAATTAGAAACATGTAAGCCTGCAGGTTCACTTGTGTAAGCCGGATCTCGAGCCGGATGATTATCAGAAATATATGAGGCGTCAAACGCGTCTTGTAATAATTCTAGAGCAGGACAAAACATCACTGAATTGCCGCCCCCCACCTCCCCCCATTTATTGCTTTGTCTTTTGTTACTTGAATCTTCATTTTAAAAACGGATTTTGGAATATGTTTTGTATCAATCAGGAAGTTTTACTGATATAAAAGCTGAAAGAAAAATATTTTCTGCATGTCGCCGTTAATATTGAACAATTTCCTGATACTGTTCTGCTATGCATAACTACAATCATGGAAATTAATTCGTAGACTTTTCAAAAATTTCAAAATTTCCCCCCCCCCCTCCCCGTTTACAATGTTGGCTTGTGGTCCAATAACCATGGTTTGAACCAACATTGTGGTAGGGGGAGAGGGGAGTTACTATTTCTAGCGATCATGGACGTTTGTATTAACTAAAAATAAAATGGCTTTACAAAATAGAAAGACAATGTTCATACGCTTTAAAAAAGTCTACGGATATTATTTCCATGATTGTAGATCAGGCATGAACGGTGTTTCATGAAACGAATTAAGAGACACAGTATACGAAAACGAAGTACGAAGACCTATAAGATGGGGTATACACCTATTTCAATTAAGGTTGTCCACGAGCAAAGCGGAAAAGTCGAATACGAGCGCGAAAGGCTGCTGGGAATCGCTTTGAAAATTCATTAATTTGTTAACGATTCCCAGCAGCCTTTCGCGCTAGTATTCGACTTTTCCGCTTTGCTCGTGGACAACCTTATTTGAAATAACTGTATACATAGAATATTCTTTTTGAAAAACCTTTATGTCATTATGATAATATTTTCTACCTACGCTTGCGACTGCCGGTGTTACGTGTAGAGGTGGTATCTATTGGATGCAACTGTAACAAAGCTTCCTTTATATACTGATTCGTATTTCATTTATATACAATTAGAGTTCGCTGACGCATTGAATCTACTATGCCTATTCCTGACGGAAACGACAACAGATACATTCCAATGCCGATGATCACGTCACATTGACGTTGCCGACATTGTGACCATTTGTTGCCATGAATGTCATGCGTAAAGGTCCAGACACACCGGACGCGATTTGACAACGCCACGCGATTTTTTAGTTTTTGAAAGTTAGTAAAACAGTCATTGGCTCATTGCGAGCAAATTTTAAAAGATATGTAGACCAAATAACTCAAAATGTTATAGCGCTTCTAAATATTTGAAAAATTCAAACTAGAATCAAAGTTATCGGTCAGTGAAAATCGAAAAATCGCGTCGCGTTGTCGAATCGCGTCCGGTGTGTCTTGGCCTTAACTAAACTCAGTCGAACGTGCAATGTAAAAAGTCCTCTTTATTTTTGAAAACAAAGTTTTAAACTCAAGGCCAAAGAAACATGTTTAATTAAAGACGTTTTGATATTATGTCTGCCAAGTTTTTACGCCCAAGTGAACAGCATTTTACAAGAAATGTAGAATTTTTTTTTATTTGTCCGCCATGTTGAATGACTCAAGTTTAGAGGTGAAAAACAGTACGAAAGTCACTTATTCTTATATAATAACTACAGTGAAACACGCAATTTGATTGGTCAATAGCCGTGCAGGATCAGGCTATCCTGCACGAGGGATTAAAATGCCTTCGCGTGATTTTCGCGGGATTCTCAAAATGTCATTGTTTCACTGTAGTTATTTTATAAAACAATTACCAAATGGTTTTCCAAGCAGGATAGCGTGATCCATGCACTTGGGATGTTGCTCGACTTTCGGAAAGCGTAAAAATACCGGCTTGCCTGCGGCTCGAGTATTTTTACGCTTTCCCAAAGTCTCGCGACATCCCTCGTGCATGGATGACGCAATCCTGCACGGAAAACATTCGGTATGCCTTTAATTGCTGCCGCAGCGAGCGAGCCTGAAGCGAGCGAGCAAGGCAGCAGATCCTAATTTTGTTTTGTGGGTCGAAATCAAAATTTTCTATTTGGCGCATTGCATGACGGTACCAGTGAATTTTGACCGTGGTGCAGCGCGGTTAGGCATAAGGCAAACAGGCAATGTGATCATGTTTCATCTTTGGTCTTCTTTTATGGAAAGCCATAGCTGGCTTAATTAAAGTGATCAAACGGCATTTTGTTGGGTGCTTTTAGCATTATACGGCGGTGCTTTTGGCATTATACACGGTACTTTCGCCATTATACGCGGTGGTTCCAGTATTATACGCGGTGCTTTCACCATTTATATACGCGATGCTTTTGCAATTATACGCAGTGGTTCGAGCACTATATGCGGTGCTTTTAATATTATACGCGATGCTAGCTTTCATTCAACATTATTTCCATATTCTTTCCATGACATGTATATGATTTAACGATTGCTTAAATTTGGTACGTGCATGGTTGACAAATGCTTTTTACCTATGGTCTGCAAGGACAATGACATGCTTTTCTGTGTATATACATGTAAATGAATATAACGCAGCGAATGCGCCAAACAGTATAAACGCGGCTGAAATACGATATTAAAATCTTAAATGTGCCGTATGATTTAATTATATTTTAGGATTTACAAATGCTTTGTCATTTGTATTTATACTTGTACTGCATCACAAGGCAGTACGTACTGTAAGTGAAAAACTCCACATATGAGATTGTCTTGTATATATTTTTGCTTTCTTTGATAAACACTATTAAACACGCAAATTTTAATTAGTGAGACCACGGAGACGCAATGTTAAATGTCACCTGCATGTCATTGTCTTTGCCCTTTAACCCCTGGTCTAATTGGCCGCTTTTGAAAATATTGATCATGACGAACCGCACTGCCTTAATTAAATGCAAACTTTGTGTTTTAATTAAAAACGGGTTAGGATAAAACGCGGATATGGACGGACGGATGAATGACGGACGGACCGGACGGATGACATATATATGTCGTTATATAGTCTGCGCGCAGCCGCGCAGGGTAGTTAGTGCCTTACGTCTTTAATCTTTAATCTTTAATAAAATTATTTAAACACGGTAGCCTGTTCAGCAGATAATATTTACAGCGCTGGTTTTCAAAGGGCCGTGTGTTTACAACAATAACATAAAAAGGACAAAAAGAATATAACTATTTACAATGAATTGATACGGATGAATTAAGTAATTGCCGTTTAAACGACAAAATTGAAAGATTGTTATAATTTTCAATAGTTTCACTTGGAAGTTCGTTCCAGGACTTATCAGCTCTATACGAGAAACTTCGTTTGAGAAAATTTGTCTTAGGTTTGGGTAGGTTCAATTTAATTTGATTGCTTCTTAGATTGTAATTGTCATTTTGACTTACTGAAAACAATTTTTCAAGGTATCGAGGTAATCGACCAGTTAGTACTTTAAATGTCATTATTAACTGCCGTTGTTTTAGAAGTTCTTCTATTGGAAGCCAATTAAGACTATCTAGCGTTTGCATGGAACGAACCTCGTATGTGTCCCCTGTTATCACACACGCTGCTCTCTTCTGCAGTATAAACAATTTATCAATTATCGAACAACATCCATCATTCCAGATTGTTGAACAATAATTGAAATGAGGCCACACTAAGGCATTGTAGATTTTTATCAGACTATCTCTATTGACAAACAATTTTGCTCTTTTCAGCAGGGCGATATTATTTGAAATTGTTTTACATTGCATTTCATTATGTTTATTCCATTTTAGCTGGTCGTCAAGGATCATGCCTAGTGACTTTTTTTGGTAAACTCGCTTAATGTTGTTTCCCCCTAATGTTAGTACTGGGCTATTTTCAATTGAAGCTAAGCGACGTCTTGATCCTATTATCATAAATTCACTCTTTTTCATATTTAATGAGAGCTTGTTAGCTGTCAACCACCTATGAACATTTTCAATGTCTTTATTAAGTTTGATCTCAATTTCATCTGGACTAAACCCTTCACAAGAAAGGCTTGTGTCATCAGCAAAAAGATTTGCTTTAGTTGTCTCTAAACAGTTAGGAAGATCATTTATGTACAATAGGAATAAAATAGGCCCAAGGTTAGAGCCCTGAGGTATCCCGCATTTTATTTGTCTAACAGCTGACATCTTGCCATTCACAGAGCATATTTGGCTTCGACCAGAAACGTATGATTCAAACCATTTCAGGCTAGTTCCTTTAATACCATATAATTCAAGCTTTGATAAAAGAATATGATGGTCGACAGTATCAAAAGCTTTTTTAATGTCTAGAAATAAAACTCCGCTAAGTAAACCTCTGTCCATATTGAACAACCATTCATTTGTAGAACTAAGCAGTGCAGTTTCAGTAGAATGTTGATGACGGAAGCCAGACTGCTGTTCCACAAGAATGCCATTCAACCTCAAGAATGAACTTAGCTGCAGGTATACCAGTTTTTCGAAAAGTTTAGCTACAGCTGAAATAACAGATATTGGCCTATAATTTTCACAGTCTGCCTTATTTCCTTCTTTAAATATGGGGGTCACCTTTGCTACTTTCCAATCATTAGGGAAAATTGCTCTTTGAAGGGATACATTGAATATGTTCACTAGTGGTCCTGCCACAATGTTAGATGCATCTTTTAGTAACCTTATACTAATACCATCAAGCCCTGGAGATTTCTTAGTTTTAATTTCATTGAGTGCATCTATTGTTTCTTGGAGTGTAATGCTTGTAAAGTTGAACCTAAAGTTGAACCTAAAGTTGAACCTAAAGTTGAATATACTTTTATACTTTAAAATAATTTTGTATATACTGAGAAATCAATATTCCGAGTATATAAATATATAAACTGGGATGTCACACTGATAGCTTGTTTACATTTCCTGGAGCATCATGAAATCTTATGTTTATAATTAACCACGGTGGTTTAACCCATCAGCTGGCAATGCGCCCTTCCCTTGTCGAGCGCCAGAAGATTTTACTCGTCAGTGGTATAGGGTACTGCCAGTAAATGGGTTAACAAACCTATCTGCCAATGGCTCTTGTTAATTCATCAGCACAGTAATGACCCCTATACTTTAGTATTTACCCTTCCAACGCCAGACGATTTTTAATACTCAGTCAGTGGTAGGGTACTGTCAATAAATGGGTTAACAAGGATAACAATAATTAGCCTGCATGGCAGGCGGTATTTCCCAGGCTTGCCCAATCTTAGGAACCGCCTGCCATGCAGGCTAAACAATAATAGGATGTTTCTGAAGGACTCGTTCAACACCCTGTAGTTTGTCTTTTGCTGTCAAAGGCAGCATTACTGCCCTGTGGGTAACCTAGTCCTAAAACGTAACATGCATGGACAAATTTTAAACCGGGTTTTCCAGGATTAGTCCTGTTTCAAACGTCGCGCTTCTCGTGTGCCGAACGCATTAGAAACAATAGATAATGAGGCATTTCAGCTGATTGTCTCAATTGTTTTTCATGCGTTCGGCACATGAGAAGCGCCAGGGACGCCGGAACGATGTGAAGGCAAGGGGGGCAGATTTTCGTGAAAGGGCACTTTTGAATTTACATTGAACTTCGCCTAACATGTTTTCTATTTATTGGATGATAGGGTGTGAGGGGGTTCTCCGCCAGGCGATTGTGCATGCTATTCTTGAAGCTTGATGGCTGCATTTCTTGCGTTTTCTGAAGCAAATTCGTAAAAGAATTGCACTAACATTTCTGACATTTCGCTATTTCGCCAAGGCAATCCTTTTAATTGAAAGGGCACCTTTGCCCCCCTTGCCCCTCCTGGTAAAGGGCAACAGGGGCGGCTGCCCCTCCTGCCTCCCTAGTTCCGGCGTCCCTGAGAAGCGCCACGTTTGAACTTGCAATTTTTGCTGCGATTTTAGGTGCAATTTTCTTCTTCTGATCAGACTGATGCGGATGTGAACGAGTGGAAGAATAATGAATCAGAAATGAGGGTACATATACTCGTTCACATGCATCAGAAGACGAAAATTGCACCTAAAATCGCGGGGAAAATTGCAAGTGTAAACTGGGCCTTTAGAGTGTAATATACATTGCGTTTGATCAGTCACGTGGCTAGCAAGCACGCATTTCTTTTCTTTCACTCATGCAATGTAAATTTTAACTGGGGCAAAATTTCGGTATTGGAACACTACATAATATACTCTGTCTCGTAAGGTATAGCGTCAGCCTGGTTCACATATGTCTGCGCTATCATTGTTTGCAGCTGTTGATGCATACATTCTTTTGTGAATTATTTGGTTGAACTCATAGCCTGCCACTACATACCGCAGGTATATGTGAACCAGGCCGTTGAGGATTGAGAGCCCTTGAGCAGGCTGAGTTAGAAGAAAAAATGTGTTCCACACTTCTATCGAGTTAGGTATATAGGCCGTGGGAAGTTGAGAGTAGTGAAGAATTAAAAGAGTGATAAGAGAGACTGACTGAGATAGTGTTTCTGTACTAAGTCACTGGGATACAATTTTCATAATATACAGTACAACTAATAAATAATGACATTCTTCAGGTTTTACCCAAGTGTCTTGTTTTCTGATTGGGCTTTTGCCAAATCTTAAATTGGATGGAATTCTGTTGGGAAAAGCTGAGTTATTGGTTTTGAGATAACACATTCCTCTTAACAATCCCTTCTAAAAATATTAAAATATTTTAAATAATTTGAGTAATTTCCATAACATATGGACAAGTTGGAATATCGGTGGCGCCATGTTAAGTATACATAACAACAAAGTGAAACCTTAGTGCATGACCTCAGCCGGGAAGCTGTTTAAGCAGTGCATGCTAAAAATTCGTAAAGCCTATAAATTAAATTAATATGATAAATATATACAACGAGTGAGGCATTATTTGGCACACACTACAGTTTAAAACCTCTAAAGGCAACTTATTTTACCGCTACGTTGTACAGCTGTATACTTGACGGGCTTTTTACCTCACACGTTTTATGACGTTTACCTTTGGCAAATTAACGATCTTCGACTTTGGCTTTGTGACTAGGGATTGATTCCAGTACAGCTGCCTAATTATGATAATCAGTAGTCAATTTGATATCCGCGTTGACGTCATCAATTTCTCGTCTCACTATCTACAGATCTTTGCAGTAATGAACCTCGGAATGTTTGGACAGTTACGGCGTTTTGAAAATTTTGTTACCCCTAAATGTCCAAACAACGTGAAATTTTCGCTATAGACTAATTCGGAGCACGGAGACTTATTTCTGCCAAATATAGACCGGGTGGAGAATATATCGTCACCAAAAAGCGAAATTATGAGACCAAGTCAGTTTGGTCAGTCAGTTTTATTATATAGAGTGCGCTGGAGTATCAAAATTTCAAATACGTTTGTTGCAAAATTAAACACTATCATTGAAAAGAACTTGAAAATCTGGTCAAAAATATATAAGGCTTGCCATAATCGGATTTAACTTTACAAATATATTAATTGTCAAGGTTTGCAAAAAAGTGCTGACTCGGGCAAATTTAATTAACCAAATTTGCGGGTTTATATCTCCGGAACGGTAAGTCCGATTATGGCAAGCCCTATATATTTTTGACTAGATTTTCAAGACCTTTTCAATGGTAGTATTTAATTTTGCAACAAACGTATTTGAAATTTTGATATTCCAGAATTCTATATAAAACTGACTGAGCACGAAAATTGCAAGGCGAAAACGAGGCTGAAGGCCCCCCAACACGCTCCGTATAACATCGCTTTTTGAAATCAGCGCCCTCGAATTGACCAAACTGACTTGGTCTCATAAATTTCGCTTTTTGGTGACAATTCCCCTATTCTCCACCCGGTCTAATATGAAGATGAAAAATCGATAACCCGAACTCGGATCGGAGAATACCATAACACCGCTGGTTTTCCCAGGGTGTGGGCGACGGTCTTCGAGGAGTCGAGGGAGTCAATCAAGTTCTTGAGGAGTAAATTGTTGTCAGGTGACTAATTTAGCTTGCACTGCTGTAACCGTTTTCGCGTTTGAAGAATTAAAAGGCAACATTTAGTACTTTCTAGATCGAACAATTTGATCCATTCCTTTCCATCCATTCTCATCAAACGCTCTGTTCGGCCGACAAACTAAGTAAAATCGTTTTCCCAGAGGGCAAGGGGGGGGGGTCTCGTCACGAAATCACGAAGATCATTTTTCGATTTCACGAGTCACGAAAAACAAAATTTCATTTTCACGATTTTTAGAAACACAGAAGCGTAACAAAGTCTGAAACCATTTAACACATACTGACTTTAACATTAGAGCCGTTTAAAGGACAATGGAAATCATTGCGAGGCATTACGAAACATTACGAGCATCGTACGATGGTGCACGAAGTTTACGAAGAGGTACGAAGGTATACGATAACGACGTTTACCGATGAAACGAAGAAACCTCAAGAACGGACAACCGCGGGAAGCAAATTTATTAATTTTTTCCCATAATATTACATTTGGGCCGAGTTTTAAACGTAAACATTCACAAGTTAGGGTAAAATATTTGTAAATTCAAGACCATAGCTAGCCTTTTAGCTCTTCACGATTCACGGCACGCATATTAATCACGATTCACGGGATGGTATTTCTTTAAATCACGAATCACGAAACACGAATAATTGCTAATCACGAGTCACGAAAATACCCTTGCCCCCCCAGGGTGTGGGCGACGGTCTTCGAGGAGTCGAGGGAGTCAATCAAGTTCTTGAGGAGTAAATTGTTGTCAGGTGACTAATTTAGCTTGCACTGCTGTAGTTAACCGTTTTCGCGTTTGAAGAATTAAAAGGCAACATTTAGTACTTTCTAGATCGACCAATTTAATCCATTCTTTTCCATCCATTCTAATCAAACGCTCTCTTCGGCCGACAAACTAAGTAAAATCGTCTGCTGCTTTTTGTCAAGGGTTAGGATAAAACGCGGATACGGACGGACAGATGGATGGCGGACGGTCGGATGAATGGCGGACGAACGGACGGACGGATGGTTTATATTCTCGCTAAATATCATTTAACAGTCATATCCGCGTACGCGGATATGGTCCAAAAAAGTTTTTCAGCCTTTTTAAAGTCATATCCGCGTAACGCGGATATGACTCAAACACGGCTGAAAAAGTTTTCTGAACCATATCCGCGTTTTATTATCCTTTTAGATAAAACGCGGATATGACTGTTAAATTATATTTAGCGAGAATATAAGCCGTCCGTCCGTCCGCCATTTATCCGTCCGTCCGCCATCCGTTCGTCCGTATCCGCGTTTTATCCTAACCATTTTTGTCAAAAGCTGTTTGTCGCGAAGCAAATTAGAGCCGGAAACTTCAAATTGATTTATAACTATGGTGTAGAATTACGGTATAGTTTAAAAGAAATTATGAATAGAACCTGATATGAAAGTTGCATTGCGTCCACTCCACTGGCGGTCCACAAATATTCAACAATTATAGACGTCCCACAGAGATAACCCAAACAGCCGCCATCATATGCCATTAAGAACACCGATTAGATCATAATAATAAAGTGATTATATATCTAGAAACACATAACTGAAATAACGCCAGATCGATTATGAAGCCATTAGCCGTTAGATGTCAGAACTGAGAGTTTAGCACCCTAGTTGATGCCATATAGTAGTAATCAGATGCGCGCCATGCGCGTAATTATGGCAGACATTGAGAGTATTTCTTCATATTAACCTCGCTTCATTTTTTGCCCATTTTCCCATGTGATGTATTAAAGGATTAGTGTCACACCATGGTATCGTGGGCTTTTCTCAGTTGTTTTTTTTACCTCCGAATCAACAAACAACGATGGAATTATTTTAAAAGAAGCAAGGACTCTCAAAGAATGGTTTAAGGAGCCGATTACATGGAGCATTTTCAACCCCGGGGTTGAACTCAGCCCCGTTTACCGGGTTGAAATTTCAGCCCTGTCTGCAATACAAAATTCTACCAAAATCAAACGCGCGATTACATGACAAAATTTTCAACCCAGGGCTGAGTTCAACCCCGGGGTTGAAATTTCAACCCTGCTTCAGCTAGCAGGGTTGAAGTTTCAACCCCGGGGTTGAACTCAGCCCTGGGTTGAAAATTTTGTCATGTAATCGTTTCAACCCAGGGCTGAAATTATCATGAGTTATTCGAGCATACGTGGTAGTGACTATTTATTACAAGAAGACAAAATAAAGGCTTTTTTTACTTCCACGAATCAATGCCGCGAACGTATAGTATAACGTTTCAACCCCGGGGTTGAAATCGTCCATATAATCGCAAAAAATTTCAACCCGGTTAACAGGGCTGAGTTCAACCCCGGGGTTGAAAATGCTCCATGTAATCGGCCCCTAACTATACGACGGATTACAAAAAGCGTTTCCAGATCTCGGCCCATAAAATAGCCACCAGCAGGAATCCGAGCCCGCAATACCGTGGGGCGACATTAATCCTTTGATTATTTCTATCACGTGGTCGCTATTGAAGTGATGAAACTCAAAGATAATTCCTCAGTTTTCCAAAAACTACTTCTGGCGTATGACGCCGCGGAAAACATCTACGCATGCGTCAAAATGGAGGAGAGGCGGAAAGGGAGTGATTTACTACGTACATGTGCCTTTTCTGAGAAATTTCGAGGGAAATAATGAATGTGTCAACCTAAAAATGATTATAGGCTACTTGTTCAAGAAATAGTATTATGCGAGAAAATGAACCAAAGGTGACTGTTGATAGTCTTGATAAATGTATTGTTTAAAAAATTAGTTTAACTGAACCATATAAGGATATTTTTGCATGCAGGATCATATGATCCACATTTTTCTCAACAACATTTTTTGCGTAGGATCAACAATTTTTGTGTAAACACTTAATTACGAGTTACTCGAAAGATTTACGACATTTAGATTTTGCACGAAGCGTTCAATACATCCCCCATCTGAAAAAGAGATTTTTTATTAAAAATTTCTATTTTTTAATATAATTTAAATGCTAGAGGACTTAACGATTAAGGTCTACTCTACTAATTTTCTGTATATTCTTTTTTTAATGTTCAAATTTTAAATTATTCGCTGTTTTTAGTTCTTGCGCATGTGCAGACGTTTCTCCGCCGATCTTGTGTACACAGAGCTCACTGACTTGAGACATACCAAGCTTTACATATTATTGTATATCTTATTGGTTGTGTACCCAATCCACTGACCCAATCTCATCCCCTGCCAGAGTTTGCCCGTTGGCAGGTTAGGTGTCCAGCACCAAGCGCAGTGAAAGTATTACAAATTAAGAAGGTGGAAGGGCTAAAACTGCGACGGGCAAAGCTATACGGCAGACAATCTCGTTCCCAGAGTATGCCTGTTCGCGGGTTAGGTTGTGGCATGACTCTGGGGAAATCGAATCGAAGTCGTTATTTGATTGGCTGCCGTGATCATCAATGCTGCCGACACAATTAATGCGTGTTTTTTACGAGAATTACGCGTGGACATACGCGAAGAGAGAATTATCAATGTTTATCAGATTTGGAATGCGAAATCAAACAATATTAATCGAAGGATATATTATATTAATCGTATGAAAAAGTATTGGGATGTTGGGTATATACTTACAAAATGGCATGGTATTTATGAATGACTTTTTATCGATTTACAGTATGAGTATATTTATTATAACCATGGAAGAATTGGCTAAATGAAATCGCACACGTCGTTTTGTTAAATTGACATATTGTTGCCAGGACTTTGGAGTGACAGCTTTTGCTTGTGTTAAAAACTTGAAGCTTTAAACAATACAGTACATTATGGTCAACACTCAACATGTTGTAGCCTGTGGTTTTTGTGCTTTTGTAAATGGAGTTATCTATATAAATTTAAGATGCCAGGTGTTTTTGTAGCATCTGTATAAATTATAGAATAATTTATTTAAGAAGTTCCTCAGGTTGTAAAACATTTGGTTATAGACTTGCTTTGTAAGTGATTGCCACTTGACAGCATGATGGGCTATTCCATTTAATATCCGTACACCCCCTGTCGAGGATACATGTTTTTCATGGTTATACCCCTGAAGAATTTCAAACTCAAAACCTTTTATCCCTGAAGAATTCCAAGCTCAAAACCCTTTACCCCTGAAGAATTCCAGGGATCCTCGACAGAGGGGTACGGATATTAAATGGAATAGCCTGATGTAAGGCTATAACTAAGCCAAACCTGAAACAATTTTTGCATCAATTTGTGTCTGGATAAAAAATAAGTAGTGAATTTAAATACAGATGTTTCCTTGTCTGTTGCTATGTGAAACAATGTTGTTTGATCAATAACAATGCTCATTTGCTAAAAATATACAAGTATTGATTCCATTTCCAAACTAATATACTATGTGAATATATTGGCAATTAATTCAATTCTATATAAAAGGAGATACAGTAGAATTGAAATAGCTACCAGTTAACCAGTTTCAATCAAATAACTACTTTAATTTCTGTATCAAGCCTCCTGGGTATTATTGTTTCCTAAGCATCATTGAGGGGGCACTTGTTCTTAATATATGCAATAAGTCTGGTTACCATTAAAAAATATCCATATTCAGAGTTACCCATTGTACTATATTTTATTAAAATACTGCAGAAATGCAATATATATCATGATTTTAAGAATTAATTGAGGGCTGCATGGTTAAAAGAGGAGGGGCTGGCCGAGGGGGGCTTATTTTTTATTTTTGTATGCAAATGAGGGGGGGGGCTTATTTATTTTATATTTTTGTATCCAAATGAGGGGGGGGGGGTTATTGGAGAGGGGCTTGAAGAGAAGGGAGCTAAATTTAGAAATTACAGTACCTCCATTCCTTACTCTTCCTTCCCAAACATGCTGCAGGAGAGGGGCAACTGCATGGGTTAAAGCATGGATTGCAAGGTTGATATATTGCATGTTATGTACCTGGTAATATGGAGAAATGAGCTAGTAAATATATCCTTTCCTATAATTAGTTGCTGATTAAATGTCCAAAGATACACAGTGTGAAGCATGAAAAGCAAATGGAAGATACCCACTCCAAGAATTGTTCAACAAATATATATGGATTTGTTCACTTCATTTCTTACTTTTGACACAAGTAATTATAGTAATTCTGTAATTATAATTACAAACACAATGTACTGTCATTTAAAGACTTTATATGTGGTCCATGTATATATGTTAATGTAATATAATATAAAAAATAATGTGTATTGTTAAAATATGTGATATATAATACCATAAACCTCTGACTATAAACCCTGGGCTTATATTCTTTTGAAGCGATTTTTCATGGGCTTAGGGGGGGGGGCTTATATGCATGGGGGCCTTATACATGGACAATCAA